CCGATTTAGCAACATCATACCACCAACTAGATACTCTACCTATTTTTTATATGGGGCTTTAGAGTAGACCAGTATCTTCTTCTTCAAGCAGTCTTTTCCATACTTCTGTATGGTGCTGAAATTTTGGACATGAAGACTTGCGATGGTAAGAGGATTGTCAGATTTGAAATATGGTGCATTACTTTGTATACATATTATTGCGTATTGTAAGATAATTGCATGTAAAGCAGTTTAATGATAAAATTGAGTGTACCTACATATATTTTGGCAGATATAATCAAAGATGAAAAAATTGAAATCATTCCTTAAGGGGGTGAAGCTTAGGATGAAAGTTTGTATGGGGAATCAACCTAGTGACGAACCCGAGTGAAGCGAGGGTGAGTGGCTAGTATCACATATATTGATTAAGATTATTTAAGCATCCTTCGTCTCAGATAAGATTTTATTATGTAACAATATTCAATTTTCTTTAAACGTTTTTCCTTTGCAACGTACAAATGCCCTACATTAAATGTCTAAATTTAGCATCTGATACTTCAGAGACCAGTCAGCGAGCATAATAAATGTGTTACCTACAGAGTTGGTCACGTAATGCAGCTTAGAGCAAAACGCGGCTGCTCCCAACCCATGCTTACTGAATTCGTTTCTAAATACAAAGTTGAAATAAGTATTAATTCTAATTTAATATTAATACTTAAACATGTAACGGTTTGGCACTACTGTTTTAAGTAGATAGTAAGAACGTATTGATCTGAATATCAAACAGAATAAAGAAAAATGAAAATATCCAAGATTTAATATTTTCATGTGCTAATAAGCTTTTATGGTATTGTAAGCGATAAGTATAGCTTATTTACCTAACATATGCTTCTCCACACCTAAGGAGGGGAGGAGGGGGGCAGGGGCGGTGGGGGTGGGGGTCAAGATATATGAAAGAAAAAAAGGGGAAAAAGAGAGGGGAGGATGGTGATAAAGGAAAGGTCATGCTTAGACCTCACATCATACGTTCTTCTTCTGCAAGAACTTAATACTTTCTCTATATCCTAAGTAGGATATGGACAAAGTAAAAGAATTAGCTAGTAGTATAATTATAGTCTATTGTTAAACATATATAGGGGTTGAAACTGTGAAGGGATGAAGCGAAGTGAATCTCACGCTCTAGTTCCCGCTGGAGTAAGTATAAATGTTTTATTTTAAACAAAATACTAGCATTGCCCGCGGCTCCGCCCGTGTTCAAATGACCAAAAAGCAAATTCTTAGGTTTTACATATTAGTATACTCTTACAATGTAGTTTTTGTATTTTTTGTCGCGGTTATTTTACCGCGGTAAAAAGTCTCTTATATGTTGACCCGGATAACCAGCTATCACCATACCAAATTTCATCATAATCCCTCCATTGGTTTTTCTGTGATGTGGTAACAGACAGACAGAGATAAAAATTCTAAAAACTATAGATTCGGCCTCTGTATCGATAATGATGTCTATTTCAATTAGATTTTTCAAAAAATATCTAATGTACAGATTCGGCTTACTTACAATTTAATTTTTCTAAAATAAAAGTACGTAAGTTACTCCTTATAACATCAGATATGTGTTTAAAAGTCCCGTCAAAATCGCTCCAGTCGCTTTAGAGATTAGCCAGAACGAACAGACAGACAGATAAAACTTTTACTTATAAGCACCGTATATAATTCCATATGCATTTAATAAAAAGCTGTTATTTTGACATTACAAACAGACACTTCAGTTTTATTTATCTGTATATAAAATATAAAAATTCGCTCTACATTAAAATTAAATCGCAGACTTAGTAGATAAGTCGGACATGTTACTACTGTAGTCTGTAATAGAACAACAATGCAATGTATGTACTTACCCAGTAGGACTGTGTCATCATCATTTACAGGCGATAGAAAGCGGCGACTGTTATTTAAACGCGATAATTTTTATTATTTTGTATATTTCAATATACGAGTACACTTCTTTCCCCTGTTAAAGGCTCCAAGGGAATGAATTTTTGAAGATCACTTTCTTCATATATCAAAAGAACTGTTGCTAAATTTTTCTTATTAATAAACTTATCAGTTCAGACGTAAAGGTGCGTGCTAAGTATATGTTTTGTATTAGTCAGCTATTGAGATAATTAAGTGATTGTAAATTATAAAATATTGTTTACTTTTAGACTAAAGATTAATATAGATGAAGCGTTATAAAACTAAACATGAAGCCAAGTAATAATGTTTTAAAAGAATATATTGTTTTAAAATAGTATACATATACTAATTACAATTTGTATACTGAGTGATGAGTAATAAATGTTAATGTATGAAAATAGCTGATAAAACTATTATAATAAATATTATATTATTAAACAAACTAATATTATGCTATTTCTCTTTCAAGGAGAAGAGAACAAATGTTAAAAAATACAAAAGAATTTAGTATTATTTTTGTTATTCATATTTTATTCCCAAAAATATTAATTTAACTATTACATATTATCAAATAAAAACTTTTTAACAAAAAAATAAAAACCGACTTCAAACAAAAGCACTAAAAAGTAAAAAATAACTGATTGGTAGTTTTCATTTACTATACATACCTAATCAAATATTTTCGAAGTCGGTGTGCTTTACTTTGTATGGGCTGGCACCGATTTCGAAAATATTTAATTAGGTATGTATTTAATAGGTAGGCTTTAATTATTTAGCCAAAGCACACCGACTTCGAAAATATTTGATTAGGTATGTATAGTAAATGAAAACTACCAATCAGTTATTTTTTACTTTTTAGTGCTTTTGTTTGAAGTCGGTTTTTATTTTTTTGTTAAAAAGTTTTTATTTTTCCCTTTTTAGTGTATACAGTAGTAGCAAAGTAAGAATTCTAACGTGTGTGTCTAATGCGTGTGTAAAATCAAACAAAATAAGCCCAAACTCAAAGTATCTACTATTAGCCGTTGAAGAGTTCCACCTATCCACCTTCTGGCCTTACCATCAGATCAGGTTAACAATACCGAACCATTGTACTATCAACGGAAATAGAAACTCTTGCAAAGTTTCAAGTCAATATGACAATTAGAAGTAGGTTAAATGCATTATTAGCTATTTTTCCATCCTTAAGGGTGGTATTTTTTTTGTAATTTAAATGGGACCAATCTAAAAGTATACACTTTCAAACGACATAAAAATTGTCCAAATCGGTTAATAAATGACGGAGTTCTGAGGTAACAAACATAAAAAAAAACAAAAAAAAAAATACAGTCGAATTGAGAACCTCCTCCTTTTTGAAGTCGGTTGAAAAAACCCTTATTCTTAAAAGAAAGTAAAATATTTCTATGGCAAAATCAGGAATGGTAGCATAAACAGTAAATCACGCTACTATTTTTGACTTTGACATTTATTTTTGCGGATTCTGAGGTTTATTAATATTTCTGAGGTAAAGTACCTAGTATTTGGACGTCATAGATATGAGTTATAATTGGTAAAAGTAAAGCCATTAGTTGAAGAAATTTTTGGTTAAATATTTGTCGAATAAGAAAAAAAACAGTCTTGTTATGGAGGAAAACCTACAGTATTTCCCCTGGTGAATAAGGAAAAATGACACTAAAATTCCTTTGTATACAATGAGTATAATAAAATCTCTTTTGTTTAAACTGGCTTGTAGTCCTTAGTGGTTTGCATGTACAACTGTAGATCTGGAGGTCTTAGGTTCGAGTCCTTGACTCGACTTCTCAAGCCAAGAATTTGGCTTTTGGAGTGTTCTTTCGTTATTTTATCAAGAAACTCTCAGTAACACAGTATAAAATCTATAGAGTTGTAGCGGCTCAATTTATTGATTGACTTTTAATTTACACTAGAATTTGACCAAGGTTTTTATGTTTTCTTTTTGACACCACACCCGTAACTCGTATCAATAAGATGACGGCCTGCGTCAGATGTATTAGTCCATATTTTGAAAATTACTGAACTGCTTTTGATGAAACTTTCACTGTTCCCTAAGTTGAAGTAAATGTAAGCTAATAAAAAAAGAATGAGCACAATGTGATTAATAATTTCGGAGAAATAAGTGGACAGACATACACACCTACAAACAAACATACATTTATAAAATTATGTATACCTATTTGTTAGGGAACTCTAATAGATTATCATATTATGTGAATATATTGCAGTTCCAATAATATAACATATATAGGTAGGTAAGTGTCGTATTGATAAACTCGTTTTTTGAAGTCGGTTAATAAAAGGAAATACTTAAAGATTTATGGATAAATACAAATATCTATATGTAACAAAACAAATATTTATTTTTTATATCTTAAAGTTATTGACTATCATAAAATAACACCTGAGTTGTCCTAATAATTAAATAATTGCTCTTAATAAATGAATATAAATATGTTGGGACATTAACACACAGCACCATCTAGTTCCATGGTAAGCTACGAGGCTTGTGTTACGGATACCAGATAGTTGATACACTATACATATATAACTTTAAATACATACATATTATAAATATAAACCACCCCTAGACATACCGAGTAGGGTCATTACAAACAGCCAAAAGTGTTGTCTTATTAATGATAACTCATTATTGTTTTATGATTTTATTAAAAAGATTCATAATAAAGCAAATATCAATATGTTTATTGTAAATTGCCAATATTGTACTATATATTTATTTCGTTAATTCATACTCTCGATCAGACATTTTACATTTTTAAAGTATTTTATTCTTAATCCAATCACTTAAGGAAATTGCTATTGATATTGTTCTTCATTAAGTTGTTTCTTTAATAACAAAAAAATGTTTTTTCTAGTCTCTCCCGAGACCTTGATTGCTGTAAAGCATTCGAAACGTCGCGAACCAAAAATCAAAATAATTCCACGAAATATCCGAAAATATAGTTTTATTTAAAATGTTTTTTCTTCAAGTGTATAGAAGAAAGAGTAATATAATAATAAAAAATAGTAATATAGCTTTATTTAAATATTTATTGCACATCATATCCATCTGTAGAGAAATAATACACACCAGTCGCATTACCAGGGTTCCAAAACCCAGCAATTGTTACATCATTACCAGCGCAACTTCCACTCTTAAACAACTTATATGAATCGCACTTCCACGCCAAATACCAATTTGGATTACTAACTGTTGCTGTCCAGAGATCTATACAGGCTCTGTGATTGCATTTGGCAGCTTTGGTTGAGTCAAATATGCCAGGTATTAGGGGTGTTTTGCACTTTGGCTGGCTTTGACCTTTCTTATTTACAAAGAAATCGATATCTCCCAAAACACTTGTCGTACCCAGCCCACCTGCATTGCAATGATAGACTTCAACGTAATCTGCGTCACCTGATCTTACTTGTTCCTGTATTAAGCTGTTCGAAAAGCAGGGTCCAGCTGGGTCTAGAGCGGTAATTCTTGATATTTTCATGCCAGTATTTTGGTAGAATATTTCTCCAGCGTACCCCAATATTTGAGAACCTAAGCTATGACCGATGGCGTGCATATTTTTAGGAGATATTCCCCCTTCTGCCAAACCTGTTAATAATTGAGCTACGGCACGTCCGATATAATAGACGTATTTAACCGAACGTTCATAGCTTTTAATGTTCCCTTGATTGTCATTTGTATAAGGTGAGTGATCTAATATGATTAAATAGCTGTTTGGATAGTTTCTGAATGTGTCCCTCACACGCTCTTCCGTTTTCTTATTTATATTGGACTTGTATCCGGCTACAAATATAATAAATTTTTTAACCTTATCAAGTTCCGGTAATGCGAGAATTCCTTTTGCGGCATTATCGATAGTGAAAGATTCCACATCGTTTCTAGGGAAGTCATAAAAATATACGTCAATACCGCTAACATCCAAGTTTAGAGTCCTGTCGTGTTCACCTGCAAGATAAAATGTAAATATTTATCAATATGCCATATTGTGCTACGCAGGAAAATGGGGTCTACATAATTTTATATATTCGATATGTATTTGTTTCTCTTGCTTAATTAGATTGTAAGATTTGTTTTTAATTTCATAATTTAATTTTAACAAATAAAATATTATTGTTAAAATTAAAATATTAATTTAAAAAAATATCTTATAATAAACTTTTTTTAATACTAAGAAATTTTTTTAAACTTATTTTTTTTTGAAATTAATATAAAAATAAATAATGAATAATTTTCTGCCATAAAAATTGTTTGCAATCACAGGAAAATGTTAAGAGGTGACACATGCAACGCACTATACAATAATCTAGATCATGATAAGTATCTTGTTGAGTACAAACACACAAGAACAGATTGAAGTCATGACCTAAAAAGCATAATAAGATTAGGAGTATATAGGGGAATAACCAATTATAAATAAACTATTTTATTTAATACGTTTTAATTTTTTCGAGCGGAACCCTAATTCTTTTTCTAAAATAAAAGTAGCCTATGTTACTCCCTATAACATCAGCTATCTTCCAGTGAAGGTCGCGTCAAAATCAATCCAGCCGTTTCAGAGATTATCCGGAACAAACAGGCAGACAGACAGACAGACAGACAAAAATTTCAAAAATTGTGTTTTTCTTATAAGTGCCGTGTATATTTTATATGCATTTAGTAAAAAGCTGTTATTTTGACATTACAAACAGACACTTCACTTTTATTTATCTGTATAGATATTTAATTTGTAATGTTTGAAAGTCCTCTTTGGGAATCGGTCAAGTGAGTGGTGCATTCCCCATATCAGGATCTCTTACCTTCGTGTGGAACTAAGTATAATAATGATTATGTTAAATAATAATTATTGAATTAGTTCTACTGTATAATGACTTTAATTTTGTAGTACTCAGTCGACTCAAGCTTGGCCAGTTTTAGATTTATAATTTATCTTTTTAACCGACTTCAAAAGGAGGAGGTTCTGAGTTGAGTGAGAGAGGAGTTATTTTATATTTTTTAGTTTTTGAAGTCGGTTTTTTAAGTACTGTTTATATCTCGATGCTTCTATGTACAATATATATATATATATATATATATATATATATATATATAATATCAGCATTGCCCGCGGCTTCGCCCGCGTTCAGATTACCAAAAACCAAATTCTTAGGTTTTACAGATTAGTATACTCTTACATTGCAGTTTTTGCATTTTTTCTCAGAAATGAGATATTTTCCCGGTAAAAAGTATCCTATATTTTGACCCGGATAACCAGCTATTACCATACCAAATTTTATCAAAATAACTCCAGTGGTTTTTCTGTGATGCGGTAACAGACAGACAGACAAAAATTCTAAAAACTATAGATTCGGCCTCTGTATCGATAATAATGTTTATTTCAATAAGATTTTCCAAAAAATATTTAATGTACAGATTCGGCTTAGTTACAATTTCATTATATGTATAGATGTACATATTTTGTTATCGTTATTACGATAAATCAGAACAGAAAAAGAACGTGTCTATGGGAGTCCCCATTTTCGTTTATCTCAACCAATATTTTTTATGGATTACAGATAGATAGCGAGATGACGTAGGTTCGAATTGTAATGTTGTATTAATATATTTTTTGGGTATTTCGTACTCAGAGATGTTTGAGATTTAATTAGATGTAAGTAAAAATAATATTTTTTAGCGTTTCTTTTATTAATATTGGCAACAGCTTCAAAGGGGTATTTTAATTACAGATAATGAGAATAGAATAAGATTATTTAGAAAATTAATTATTTTAATTTGTAATATATATCTAAAGATTTAATATGAGTTTTAGGTTCTTAAAAAATTTACGATGGTAAAACTATTACAGTCACTTAAGATAGTAAGTAACTAATTCTTGATCGTCTGTTGGCGTTGGGAAATCTAACTCGGATAGCACTCTTCAAGTGAGCATCACCTGGTTCAGAGGGAGTATCTTTTATTATGCTGTTGGTCGTTACAAATTCAAATCTGTCCTGTTATAAATCTATACATATAATAAAATTCTAACCGAGTCGAATCTGTACATCAAATATTTTTTGGAAAATCTTATTGAAATATTATCATCGATACGGAGGCCGAATCTATATATATGAGTTTGTAGAATGTATGTCTGTCTGTCTGGGAACTCATCACGAGAAAACCACTGGAAGTACAATAAACTGACGATTTATTCCGATATATATATATATATATATATATATTTATATTTATATATATTTATATTTATATATATATATATATGTATATATATATATATATATATATATATATATATATATATATATATATATATAGGACCTACTCATTTATTTGGATGAAGAGGAGTTTAAGGTTTAGACTGCTTATTATTTCTATTTGGTGGTTTCTCTAGACTACTCACTCGGTAACGAACATAGTGCTAACATAACATGATGCATCAAGGCTATTTACCTGTTAGTTGAATTTTATTATGTTAAAACTTTTGTATAGCAAAGTGAATAAAACTATTGTTGCTGTACTCTATTCTGTTTTATCTTTTGTTATTGATAAACTAGTTCCTGCACGTTGGTCTTAATACAATTTTGGGTATACTAAGGTATGAATGAAATCCAAAATTATAATACGTTTGTACAATTATATATATATTTGAATTCATTTCTATTATCAAATAAAAATGATTTGAGTCTTTTGCGATATAAAGTATTAGCATATTTTAATTGAAAAAGTAATTAAGAGTATTTCTTTTAATTAAAGTTCTGAACAACAGGAAAATTTTCTTGTAAGGATAAAACAGAACACGTCACTTTTCTTCTACAGCTGATACCTATATTTTTATAAATTATTAAAAATACTGAAGAACAGGAACAAATCTATCCCACGAAAACCGTATATTTTTCCGGGAGAAAAGTAGTATTTAGCCTGTGTGCTATTACAGAATATAATTTGTCTCTGTGCTAAATTTTATCCAAATCCGTTCAGCCGTTCTGACATAATCAACAAACATCTATCCAAACATTCAAACATCCAAACTTTCACACTTGTAATATTAGTAAGATTTTAGAAGTAGAACTTACATTTTATCAATTTTGAATGTAATGCCAGTTGAAAAGGTCCATACTTTTCCAAATCTCCTCGACCCCATGAAAGTGCATATCCAAATAAACACATAAATACACAAATTATCAACTTCATAATTTACTGTAAATTATACTTGATAAATCACTAAAATATTGAGTTTTTTTAGTGATAATGAATTATTTTATTAATATTACAAAAATACTTGAGTATCGTTTTTTGTTATAATTTAATTTTACAAAAGAAAAAAATGCGCGGGACTTTAACAAACAGTACAGAATAGTGTAGTCTCGCCAGCGCGTGATTGAATTACTGAATCGACCACGGTTGAATGAAGTATGAATAGTGATTATTAATCGATTATATATATCGAGATATCGATCATTACTATGTAATTAGTATATTTTACATTAGTTAACAATTAATATTAGTCAAGGTTAATGGTCTTTATCTTCATCTCGGGGTTATTAAAATGAAAATAACCTGGGGCTTTTCAAAATTAAAAACAAAATATTGACTTTATTCTTTGTTCTATAGAACATTCAGAACTATACCTATTAACAACTTTTTTTTATAAATATTTATAGTTAATTATTGGTATGAGAATAAAAGAAATCGACGAATACCTAATCGATTATAAAAATTTTATTAGTCACTCGATCGTATTAATCATTCGTAATCGCCCACCTCTATTCGGGTCTCTGTCAAGTGGCGTAATGAGATCGGCGGATGACGTAATTGCAAAGTACTCACGGTTCATTTAAATACTTAAGGCTGTATGCACACGAGTTAAATTAGCTTGATATTTTGTTTATGCGTTATAAAAGAAGAATGTACACCAAATTCTGCAATCTACTGAGGAAATTACGGTGGGATTAAAAAAGATGACATTGTTTGTTGTGAAATATATATCTATCTATACATAAAATTCTAACTGAATGGAATTCGAAAATTAAATATTTTTTGGACAATCTTATTGAAATAGTCATTATTAACGATACAGAGGCCGAATCTATAGTTTATAGTATTTTTGTTTGTCTGTCTGTCTGGGAAAGCATCACGAAAAAACCACTAGACCGATTTTGATGAAATTAGGTATAATGATAGCTGGTTATCTGAGTCAACATATAGGATACTTTTTACTGCGGGAAAATATCTTGTCTCTGAGAAATTATACTAAACGTTAAAACGTAACGAGGGGTGAATCCGAGCAGAGCGAGGGTGAGTCGCTAGTATTATCTAAATAAACGACTTCCTTCCGAATTGAGCTAAAATATATCATAGGTACTTATTAAGATTGAAGAACGCGTACTCACAATTTTTATTTACTTTTTTAACCTGTAATAAAAATATTACCAGGTAAATTTCTAAGAAATTAATTCAATTACTAAGAAATCTATTGTTAACTGTAACGCCGGCGTGTCCGCGGTCGTGAGGGATTAAAATATATTTTTCTTAATTTTATTTAGCTATATATCGTAAATTTTAATACTAAAGAAATTGTTAGTAAAAATTATTTAATTTTAAAGATTGACCATACATCGTTTATGTGATAGGTAACTAAGTAGATCGAAATTATACCTTTCATGTGAACAAAGCCATACATGTTATTGTGATTCATGTGTGGGTTGTAAAGTAATTTCGCGGCTTAACTTGTTTGTTTTTCATGCAGAATACGACAGGGGATTTTTATTGGATACATTTGTACATAACCGCTATCGGTACTTCCCTTATATTGAGTTTAGTTAAACATAATTTGACCTGAAATGGAGGTTGTTTTATTAAATAAATATAATTATTTTATTCTGCTTGCTTCGCTCATACTTATATTGTTTATTTTTTACAATAACATATTCTTTAAGAATTTGAACCAGCTATTACGCTACACAAAATTTATGCCCGATTTCACCAACGTCACTACTTTAGGGGACTGTTAGGGGACAGTTTCTGTTTCACCGACAGTCAGGGGTCACCTAAATATTAAAAGGCCCCCTAAATTTAGGTGCCCGAAATATGGGCTTAAAGACGATCGTAAAACGAAATTTAATTTAGGGGCTAGTTTTAGGGGACTTTTAAGCTAGGGATCCCATACGTAGGTGGTAGTTTATGGGTTGTTGGTGAAATCGAGCATAAGTGTTGTAAAAACAAATGATTTTTTGGTTACAAATTGTAAACTTTCAAGACCTTTCTATAGGTATGGTACTCTAAAAAATTATATTAATAATATCTTTCTTATCAATTTCAGCCAAGGCGACCAATCTCACGCAGACTAGCTGTCTGACAATTGACAAGGATGATCTTAAATATAGGTTATTGTACACCCAAAAAGAGAAAAGAAAATATATAAAATATAGAAGAAGGTACAAGAGGCGGCCTTATCGCTAAAAGTGCGATTTCTTTTCTTTTTATATTCCGTTCATTCTTAAAGTCGAATGGGACGATAATTTAACACGACCGGTGAGACATCCAGCACCACGACAACTTTAAGTGCTCTGCAAAGCCCAGTGGTGTAACACCAACAGCTTCCCAACTCTGGGTTGTTGCTAAAAAAATTTTGGCAGAAAAAGCTCAATAGCTATATTTGGCCAGACCTGGGACTCGAACCCAGAGCCAGGACGAGGCAATTAATACTCTTAAAATAACCATCATAAATTATTTATTTTATAGAGTTTCACATTTTTACATTTTGCCTCGAAAATATATCCACGAATCATTGATCAAGTTTTATCTTAGCTTGACGTGAACACACTGTCACTTTGTTTACAACATAAATGTTTTATTGGTGATAACGTTTATTTATGAAATACGAAAGGGTATCGATAACTTTAAAATACATGGATATATTTAAATTGGATGGCCTCTGATACTGTGCCAGTGTACCCTCTTAGGGTTAAAGGTAGCTTATTCGAATATCTCTAAAGTTATATACGATTGCAAGTAACATCATTGTAACTCTGTATTGACAATTTAAAAGTTGTAAATAATTTCTAAATATATATATGTACATTAACACACAGCACCATCTAGTTCCATGGTAAGCTATGAGGCTTGTGTTATGGATACCAGATAGTTGATACACTACATACAAATAAATTTAAATACAAATATATTATAAATATAAACACCCATGACTAGAGTAAGAACATTCGTACTTATCACACAAATAAATGCCCGCAGCGGGACTCAAACCCGCGAGCGCTGGCACAGCAAGTAGGTTCACTACAAACTGAGCCAAACGTGCTGTCAAACATCCATTAAATGATAAAATCCAAATGATGAATGCCGATTCAGTATTCCTACTGCCTGTACAGTGGCATCGTCGGTCCTTGTACAATCATATAGAATAAATATATAAGACAAACATATAGAATAAGTATATAAGACAAAATAAAAATTGATAATGGGTTGAAAATATTATTATAAGCTAATATATCGATGGAAGCCTATTTGTAAAGAGTTCACTTGGAAAACCAAGTGAAGCGGGTTTTAATTTCGGGTCTCATACCTCTGATGTTTTTATGTACCTATTGGCACCGTATTAGCAAATGGTTATCAACAAAATTACTACTTGTTAATACGGTGAACGAAAACCTTGTAAGGAACATGCTTTTTTGAGAGAATTTATTAATTTTCGAAAGACTATTCATTTATTTATCATATCCATCTGTTGTTTATTTTATAAAGAAATTGTGGCTTAAATTACATACATCTAAAAATAATTTACATGCCGGGATATACGGTTGGTATGATAGGCGGTCTTTAATGGCAGGAAGAAAACTGTCCTAAAGCCATTTGAATTTGACATAGCTAATCTTGAGCGGAACTGGAACCTGAACACTACAGAATAGACCATTCTGTAAAAACTTTTATGCAATACGATAGTTAAATCCGCGCTTATATATACGTCATACAATTGTATAAAATATTGTATTAGTTCGCGGATTCATCTGTGGAGTTGCTTTAAAGTTATTACAGAAGAGACTTACTGCCTTAGTCGTGCGTAATTGTGAGTGAAATAAATGCCTTTGTTTTTCATAAAACTATTCTAAAGCTTATCATTAAAGCTTTCTTTGTATAATTTTTCACTTGTAGAAGAGGTGGAGTGGAATAAAGAGGCAGAGAAGAGGGGAGAGAGAGAGAGTGAGAGAGAGCATACCGCTTATAGCTTTAAAACAATATGTAGTGAAAAGAGTTTAATTATGGTGAGTTGCCGGTCCCATTGATGCTAAAGTAAATGTTTTTTTATTAAAAAGAATATTTAAAATATATAAGTTAAAATATTTTTAATTAAATGTATTATCTTTGTTTCAACCTACTCATCCGTTTTACTTTGTTCAATTGCTAAACTAATCTATACATATAATAAAATTGTAAGTATGCCGAATCTGTACATTCGGTATATTAATGGAAAATCTTATTGAAATAAATATTCTTATCGATACAGAGGCCGAATCTATAGTTTTTTGAAATTTTTGTCTGTCTGTCTGTATCACAGAAAATCTACTGTAGGGATTTTGATGAAATTTGGTATGGTATAGCTGGTTATCTGGGTCAACATATTGTATACTTTTTACCGCGGGAAAATATGTAATCTCTAAGAAAAAATACAAAAACTGCAGTGTAAGATTATATGAATATGTAAAACCTTAGAATTTGGCTTTTGGTCATTTAAATGCGGGCGGAGCCGCGGGCAATGCTAGTATTAACTAAATTTTAAGAAAACACTGATTGTTTAAGTAAAGTCCGAGTAACATAGATATATTTAACTCTTTAAATAAACAACTCGAATATGCCCTCAGTTAGTCTTGTCTAATATATAATATAGAGTATACGAGCTCGTTGCTTTTAAAAAGCATTACTTCATTTCTTTTTCAAACACGTGTTAAATTTCTAAGTCTCGCGAAGTTCTTTGTACCGCCAAAAGCGTTGTAGCAAGTTTTATGCTGAGTAAAAATAAATAAGGGAACAGATGTGCTCTTCACACCAAGTTGAGGATTAAGTTAGAACTTGTTTAGGTGCTACTAAAGTTTACTAATGTATTTTGTATGCAGTTAAAAAATACAGGTGAGTAATCTTACACTCTTTTCTTGAAT